CTACTAGCGTGGCACTTGTTACTACTAGCGTGGCACTTGTTACTACTTTGCAGGTTAGAGGCCATCGAATCAATCGATTTCTGGTGCAGAGAAGTGATAGAATGAAGCAGTCTCCACTTACAAAGTACCGTCCTGCTTTCCGTCTTAAATCGGCTCATCGGATGCTTTCTGCTTTCGCCCTTGAAGTGCTTCAACGTGCTTTCATAACTGTGGACTAAGGCTAGCGAAGCCAGTCTCAAACAATCAAGCAACCCTGACCAAAGCAGCACACCGGAACATCAAACCAAAGGAACATAAAGAAGAAACCACTACATATAAATACGCTGGTACTATGATGCTGTGGTGCGCACCTTGTCTTGCAGCAATAAAATACGCACTCGGAAACGAGGTAACAGGTGAACTCCCTCAGATGTTGGTAGATTGGACTGGAAGCCCGAAGAGATCTGCTCGCGCTTTGCATGCATTCGATTTCTTCTTCCTCATTCCTTGTGGCTGTTCGCATCAGCGCCATGTCATCATTTGCACAGCATGACCTCCACTCGCAGGGGCCTTAGATTTGGTGAAACTCCAGGAAACTCTTTAGATTTGGTCGTGCACCCCTAAAGAGATCCAAGTACACAAGACCAAACGCACCATAAAAGCATGTAAAAGCCATGGGTTCTTTCCTTTCTTTTTTGAATTAGGTAAAAAGAAAACTCTACACCCAAACTCAGGGGACTGAAGGACTCTATATCGATTCACGTCGACAAAGTGATACAATGTCGCACACAAACGACCTGTCGCCTGTCGCACAAAACAGGCGATAAGCTTGGAGCAAGTGACACGGCTCCGGAGGGCCTGCCAAATGGAGTAAAAAAAATATCTTCACTGCACCACCTAAAACCTAACCTATGCCAGGAGCAACCACTAAAGTAACAATGACACTAACCACTAACTCAGAAAACTGTTGAATGTCAATGGCTTGAAATCTTTAGATTTAGCAAACACGGGACTGCACTAGATTTGTAGAATACGAAGTTGACCACTACACATGTCAGCTGCAAAAGCTGCAAAGAGCGGTTTGAAGCTGCCTTTGAAAATGCTGCAGGTTCCCATGCCTCCTCGGACATTGTGGCATGACCTTGTGCACCTTGGTCCATGAAATCTGGCCATGCTTGTCTCAAAGAAATGGATTGAAAAATAGAACCTCGGTAACACCCACAATACTCGCCCATGACAAGTCAGGCTACTCTGGTGTCAGTGTCTCTGGTGTCAGTACAAATCGGTGTCAAGCTGCCGTAAGCTGCCAAAGCCCCGACGAGGCCACCCACTGCGTGAGCTGTGTGCGAAATGCCATCTTGGCTCCCATAGGCTTGGATCTGTCAGAGATGCGCAAGACATCCAATGTCTCCGATGTCCAAAACCGGAAAAAAAACATAAACGCAATAGCTTTTACTGTGTACAAACATATTAATAGTATATAATGGTTCCTATCCCAACATGTCCAGTGGAGCGTTGTCTTGTTCCCATTCAACAGCTTGACATGCTAATGTTTGATTGTGGCCTCTGGAAGGATGAAAATGACCTGGGCTGCTGGAGGCGGGATGAACTCTTGCATTAAGTCAATCGACAATTTAGTTGCTATCTGCTAGCAGCTTGTCTTCAATGGGGGCCTACATAGTAGTAAGGCCAGGAGCCCCGAGTAGCGTCCTTGCTCCTAGTAGCGATGCCAGGAGCCCCTAGTAGCGTCCTTGCTCCTAGTAGTAAGGCCAGGAGACCCTAGTAGCGTCCTTGCTCCTAGTAGTAAGGCCAGGAGCCTCTAGTAGCGTCCTTGCTCCTAGTTGTAAGGCCAGGAGACCCTAGTAGCGTCCTTGCTCCTACCATTAGCTCATCTAAAAAAGAATTCCAATGCCTTTTGTAACATGTTGCCCAAGAAACGATGGCCAATATCAGGGTCATTGGAATGTCGCCGGGTGCACGGTAGCGTCCTCCATTGCGTTCTGAAACTTCAAAAGTCCAACACAGTCTGCTAGAAAGATCCCTAAAGTCTAATATTCTATTTATCCAACTCAGCTCGTTGAGAAGTACAAAAAAAATCCTCCCATTCTGATCACATCATTTATCATGTATCCAAGAAATGCAGTCTGAGATCTTCTGGTCTTTCGGCTTCACTTCTTGATTTGACATCTTGTCTTGATTAACCACTTCGCTAAGGAGACTGCCAACAAGACCCTAGCCGGCCAGTCCTGAAAAGACAGCCATCAGCATGCATTGGAACACCACACCACTGGCCCCAAGTACAGCCACTTCTTGGCCGGCAAAAAATGCAATCATCTCTTTTAATCTCTTTTTACAGTCTTACAGTCTTACACTGTCCTGACCTGGGTATGTCGTAAGCTTTGCACATCTTGCGTGCACAAAATTGCGTGATTAATTGCATCCACAGGTATCGTCAGTCCTCTCCACAGCTTGCACATAAAGCACTGATCCTCTTTGGAGATCTCTTTCAACCAGTTGCGTCATCTGCACGCGTTCGTCACGCTGCTCAAACCAAGGTTCTGGGGTTCAAGCACATGTTGAGGGTGGCTGCCTCAGCAAAACATGATTTGAACAATTTCAATACGGTGGCTGAAAATCATTGTTACACATCTGCCCACCCAGCTGATGCAGCAGGAGCGCTTGTCGTCCTCATGGGTGGTGCCAGTGGACCGCAGAAGGTCGACTTTTCTTGGATTCAAAGGATACTAGTAGCGTCCTTGTTACTAGTAGCGATGCCCTTTGTTCCTAGTTGCTTCTTGTTACTAGTAGTAAGGCCAGGAGCTACTAGTAGCGTCCTTGTTAGGGACATATTGTAATTCCGAGCACTTTCTGGGAAGAATTTGCTGGTGTAGTACTGGTCACATCTTGCCAAGACCTTGCCTCTGAGATAGACGAACGTGGCTGGGAACAAGTTGTTTTGACAATGACTTGTTGTGTTGGGCGAGGTGGTCGATTTGTTGGTGGTACCGAACATCGTTTTCTTCGTCGAGTTTGCCTCGGCGTTGATGCAGCAATTGACTGGGCTGTTCTGTTTGTTTTGCAATGCATGTGGTCGCAACATGAAAAAGGCAAGAACCTTGCAAATGGCGGTGGAATGGAAATGACTTGAAGGCAAGGTTGCAGAAATCATCGCAAAACACCAGGGCTTTTGAATGGCGTGTCACCGCATATTCGCGGTCCTTGGGGGCCTGAAGGTACCAAATCTGCCTAAATAGCAGCACTTTGGGCCTTTGGGCGTTCTTTAAATGCCTCGCAAAAACGGAGAACAGTGCGCCAGGGGAAGAAAGGGTCCAATGTCTTGGAAGAGCTTTTTTGTAGTGGTAGCAGTGCTCCGAAAGCGATTTGGGAACTTTTGGCCTAAAGCTCTCCGTAGCTTGCTGGTCCTTGAGCAAAACTATGCATTACCCGGCATCGCCGGTTCCGCGAAGATTGCAATGAAGAAACAAATGCAATTGCTGTTGACTGTTGACAGAATGGAAGAACTCATTCTGATGGGATGCCAGTGTCCAGCATGATCTCCGGAACATTCCACGACAATTGTATAGTAGCAAAGACTGGATTCCGCTCTTGAAAATCACGCACAAGTCGTGCCAAGAAGCTGCAAGTGCATTCACCAATGTTATTAGGACAAGCCATCGCGCTTTGTACTTCCTGAGAGTTCGAAGGCCAGAAATGCAAGCATTCAATCAGAAGAGAGATCAAGTCACAGAGCTCACAATAAACCACAACATGACATGAATCCCACCAACCGCAACCAGCAAGAGCTGGCTGTCCCTACCACTCAAAAAGGGCTTGAAGGATTCCCAGCCAGCAACGTCCCATCTCTCCCTAGATTTGGGAACATGTTTGGAAACCTCGTGAGGAGTGGGATCAGTCAAAGCGTCACCAATGGTATGCAGGGAGCCGAAGAAAAAAACACTGCTACAGGTTTGTTAGCCTCATCAAGATCCCTAAGGCCCTAAGAGTTTGAGTGAAAGCACGCTTTTGTCACCAACTCAAACTACGAAGTTGGTGGTGAAACTGCAAGTGTAACTTTTCGCAACTTGACTTTGCAACGCACCGGCCAACTGCAACTTCTCATAACTCCAAAATGTTTCTTTGACACTTCCTTGTTTGTGCAATGTGTGATGAACTCCTGAGGGTGTGCACGTACTCAAGTACAAACATGCCCCTGTGGCCAATTACGCTTTGAGCGTATTGCCTGGTGCCTCCAGACGTTATCGAATGGAAATGGTGCGTAGTCCTCTGGGTCCCTCCTGATTTCCTTACTTGCCGTACAAAGCCAAGCGTCTCCTCCAACAATGGAAGCACCAGCAACAGCCTCTGCTCAAGGCGGGGCACTGCTTTCAACAAAAAGGACGGGGTCAACTTGTACAAGAATCTAACAACACCTAACAACTGCATGCAGTAGTCAGTTTTTCAAAACCTCGACTCAAACAAGAGGCAAATGTACTGCAAGCAAGCCACGATGTCATGTTGCCTCAGAAAAGCACCGTGTGTAACAGCTCCGGCTGAGTGCAAATGTTGTCACATACTTGAAAGCCACATATTCTTAACGAATCGTGTGCTATTGCAACAGAGCTGCCAAGAAAGTGATTCCAGTCACCGTGCCCAAATATGTGAAGGACAAAGCGAAAAGGTGTTGCCAGGTATACACCCATGTTCTTCACCTGCAAACTCCACGCTCCCAACTCATCAAATACGGCACGGTCAACGTTGTATTCGTAAAGTGGACCATCGGCGGATTCGGATGCTGCCGGGCCCCCGGATTCGGGAATGCAGCTGCAGAACGTTATGCACGCATTCAGAAGCTTTGATTTGGACAGCCAGCCTCATACCACACTGGGCTGCGAAAGAGGTTCTTGACAAGCTCACTCCTCGCAGCGCTCTGGAATGAGTCACATTCTGTACTATCTTTATGTTTTGGTTTGTACATGTCAAGCTCCAAACAGCACTGCTTGGTAAGCTGACTTACTTGAGAAATCCTTGTCGACTCTTGTCCATATAAAATCTGGTCTGTCTATGGTGATTTCTGGAAGCGACTGGAAAGCGTGTGGCAGTTGATAATCCAACCTGTCCTGTCACTCACAGCAAATACAAGGAAACAGGCGCTCATGAACCAAAGCGTCACTGGTGCATTGAACACCTGAGAGCTTGTTTGAATGGGGCAATGCAAGTGAATGTGGTCCAGCAGAGTCCTACTCATGAACCCGGTCCGACCTTTACCATCCCAACTACTGTGTCGTGCGCTGACTTGATGCAAATAGATGAATACGAGCATGAGCCATGCATACGTGCCGGTTGCTGGATCTGGCTTCTGCTGGTAATTTGTGATAGGGGCTGCAAATTGGTGCATCAGCTGTCGGAACATGTGATGATAGATCCTCTGATGATACCTTCACACGTGAGGAAGCGTTGTTCTGAATCATCTTGCCTGCATGCTGGTTTGACATGCAGTAGCATCTTTTTCAGAAGACTCCAAGCGAAACCCAAACAATGACAAAGTAATAGGTTGACTGACATTGACATGATCTGACACAATCAGTGCCAGACCTGTGAATCTCACATGTTGAAACAGCTGAGCTTGAGGAAGTGAAGAAATAGTAGATAACATCCCAGCTGATAAATGTGTTTCGTCGTCTGTGCCTTCTTGGTGCCGGAGAGACACTAATCTGTAGTTGCCACAGCTGCACTTTGAGGCTATGAAGCCTAACAGATTCATTCAAAGCAGGTTCAAGATACCTGACACCTCCAAATGGCCGTGACCTTGAGACTGGAAATAACAATTCTGCAGCAATGTGATTATATAAATGATCCCCTGTAAGTGATCAGCTTGCGACGTCCAGAGCTGGGAGACAAAGAATTGCAAGGCAGAGGCGGCCACAGCACTCCAGAGCTGGGAGACAAATGTAGACACAGGGAGACAAATGTAAAGGATTGCAAGCGACATGCAGCCCAGAGCTGGATGACAAATAAAGGATTGCAAGGCAGAGGCGGATACAGCAGTCTAGAGCTGGGAGACAAATGCAAAGGCTTGCGAGGACACATGTAAAGGATTGCAAGGCAGAGGCGGACACAGCAGTCAGAGCTGGGAGACAAATGTAAAATTAAGGATTGCAAGGCAGAGGCGGACACAGCAGTCCAGAGCTGGGAGACAAATGTAGACACAGCGAGACAAATGTAAAGGGTTGCAAGCGACACGCAGCCCAGAGCTGGGAGACAAATGTAAAGGATTGCAGGGCAGAGCAGCTGGGAGACAAATGTGAAAGGTTGCAAGCGAGAGGGGGAGAGAGGAGGCACATGTAAAGGAAAGAAGGAAGACAAGGCGGACGCAATTACCAAGAAGGGGGACAACAAGGGAAACAAGAAGGGAGACAAAAGGAAACAGAAGGGAGACAAGACGGACACAGTGTCCAACAAGAAGGGAGACAAGACCAGAGACAAAGGGAGACAGAAGGGAGACAAGGCGGACACAATGACCAACAAGAAGGGAGACAAGACCGGAGACAAAGGGAGACAGAAGGGACGAGGCGTACACAGTGACCAACAAGAGGGAAACAAAAAGGAGACAAAAGATAAGAGAAGGGAGACAAGACGGACACAATGATCAACAAGAAGGGAGACAAGAAGGGAGACAAAAGCAAGCAGAAGGGAGACAAAACGGACACAATGACCCACAGGAAGGGAGACAAGACCGGAGACAAAGAAAGAATGAAGGGAGACAAGGCGGACACAGTGACCAACAAGAAGGGAGGCAAGAAGGGAGACAAAAGGAAACAAAAGGGAGACAAGGCGGACACAGTGACCAACAAGAAGGGGGACACAGTGACCAACAAGAACGGAGACCAAGGGAGACAAGCCGGACGGAAGGCGGACACGCTGTCCGGCAACAAGGCGGACACTCTTAGAAAGCATTTAGAATTTAGAACCCCTAACAGTAACCTGTGTGGGGAAGTACAGAAATCACCTGGGAGACAAATGAATAGAAAAAGGGGAAAAGGGCGGATGCCAGCAGTGCAGGCACCGAACCTGGAAAACAAAAGTAAACAAGCCACACGGGAAACAAATGAATAGAAATGCTGAAATGCTGCATGGCCAGCGGAAAAGGGCGGACACCAGCAGTGCAGGCACCGAACCTGGGAGACAAAAGTAAAGAAGTCACTTTAAAGACAAACAAATTGAAATGCTGCATGGCCAGCAGCAAAGGGCGGACACCAGCAGTGACAGACCTGGGAGACAAATGAATAGAAATGCTCATGGCCAGGGGCGGACACCACCAGTGACAGACTTGGTAGACAAATGAATAGAAATGTTGCATCGCCAGCGGAAAAGGGCGGACACCAGCAGTGACAGACCTGGGAGACAAATAGACAAATGAATAGAAACGCTACATGGCCAGCGGAAAAGGGCGGACACCACCAGTGACAGCGGACACCAGCAGCGACAGACCTGGGAGACAAACGCATAAAGATGCTACATGGCCAACGGAAAAGGGCGGACACCAGCAGTGACAGACCATGAATAGAAGTTCTACATGGCCAGCGGAAAAGGGTGGACACCACCAGTGACAGACCTGGGAGACAAATGAATACAAATGCTGCATGGCCAGCGGAAAAGGGCGGACACTACCAGTGACAAACCTGGGAGACAAGTGAATAGAATTGTTGCATCGCCAGCGGAAAAGGGCGGACACCAGCAGGAGATAAATGCATAGAAATGCTGCATAGCCAGCGGAAAAGGGCGGACACCAGCAGCGACAGACCTGGGAGACAA